GAAAAGCAAAAGATAGAAAAGGCAAATCACTAAGTCATCAACAAATAAATGATTAGAAGCTTCTGGCAGATTTATTATAAGCATCACTGCAAGATAGAAAATATTTGAATCATAGCTATAAAGTGCTGTGAAAAAATTACTGACTACCTAAAACTGTGTAACTCATCTGGAATATCTTTTGAGAATGAGGGTGCAATTAAATACATGATCAGGAAAACAAGAATTGATACATTACCCCAAATTATCAAATGAGATTCTAAGGATTAATCTGAATAAAAATTTAAAAACCTTTTTTAAAATAAGAAGTCATTTTATATATAAAATAAAACTTTAGTAAAACAAACTTCTCGGAGAAGAGTGATTGGATTTAGCATTCTGAGGCCATTGTGTTGTTTGGGAGCAGGGTTAAGGTATTGATTACCTTTAGATTTCAGGTTGTTAAACATGTATGTTAAAATACTATGGAAAAACACTTAAAGAATATTAACAGTATGCAACTTCCAAAGGAATAATTAAATTATAAAATAAACACCAACAACCTACCTTAACTAAAAGAAGCAAGAAAGGAGAAAATAGAAAGTAAAATGAGGCAAGGCACATAGCATCATTTCCAAAAATAACACATGTCATAATCATAATAAATGCAAATGTGTTAAACTCACTAGTTAACAGACATTTTTATTATTAATAAAATACAATCTAAGGCTGCATTATTTACATCAAAATAGTAAAGACACAGTTGAGAGCAAAAGGATGGGGAATAATACATGAGGCTTAGAAAAAACTTAGATAGCCAAAGCTAATACAGGTTAATAGCTAATGCAGGTATTCCTTATTGCAGATTTCAGAGTTTTTGAGATTTTGAAATATTTTATAAACTTTACTAGTTGATTTTTCTAATCCAAAATCTGAAATCTGAAATGCTCTAGAACTGAAACGTTTTGAGCATTCATGTCAGCATTCAGTAAGTTTTAGATTTCCAAACATTTCAGACTTTGAATTTTCAGATTAAGAGTGTTCAGTCTATATTAAACAAAACAGGCTGTAAGATCCAAAGTTTATTGTAATAAAGAGGGTAATATTATATGATAACTAGTTTACCAGAAAAATCTAATAGTTACAAACATATTCCTTAATAAAATTGCTTCACATTTATAAAGATAAAACAATGGAGCTAAGGTTTATGCTGACAAATCCACCAAACCAAAATGAGAAATTCCAACATAGCTTTCAATTATCATAGAACAAGCAGATAAACTATTTAAAAATCAAGATGACTGAACAGTATACTTTACAAGATTGATAAAACAGGTACCTGTGAAAACCTGCTCTAATAATTAGTATATTAGGGAAAGAAAAGGGAAATATCTAAGAATAAATAAATGAAGAATCCAGTCTAGTGGGTACCTCAAGTAGCAGTGTAGATCAAGCTGGAAGAAAGCATCAGGAGGAATACACAAGTAACTACAATTATGCTACTAACTTGAATGGTGTGCTCATAGGGTTTTAATATGATGAATCTTAACATTTATGTTACATACATCCTTTATATTAAATACAACATGATATAAGAAATATTTGTTACCCAAATGTAGTCTTCATTCTTCAGTGTTTCAGATTTTATCTTGGCCCAGGAGGTATTGAATTTCTAATCTTATCAGGAAAGATGTTAGACAGTGATTCATGTCCTCTACCAGCAGACATTCCATTCCAGTTAACATTAAGTGCCTACCACATCCATTATGTCTTTTAATACCGACAACAACCCATAAAATGTCAATGAACAGTTCTTCACAACCATGGAAAGAAAGTTAGGTTTATGGGCTAATTTGTTCTATCCTCTCAGAAATCTAGAGTAGACAGGTACCTTCTTTCATGAGCCATGTGTTTCTTTTGCTCTCAATTACAGCATTACAGAATCATACAATATTATAAGCGAATACTTGTATATTTTACAAATGAAGAAACTGACCAACAGTCCGACCTGGGGTCACAAGTCTTATGTACTTTCAAAGAGCTCTAGAGTAGAAAAGTCCATGTTTTTCCTTATGCCTTTTCTGAAGTTCGACAAGCTGAAAAGCAGATTTTTCATTTTTCATACTGACTTTACTAAGCCTTTAAATTGAAATAATAGGTAAATATTTAAATGAATAATTTGACAGCATTGGGCCATATTTTAAGGTAGATCTTGAACTGTTTATTTCATTTTACACAAATCCGTGTAAAAGAATTTTTGTACAAAAAAAAAGTATTGCTCCTCATTTTTTCATTTAACAAATTTGTTTGGGGCCTTTATTGTGTGAAAGACATTAAAAGATGACACTAGTTTTTATAAATTCTTATTTTTATTTTCATTTTGAAACAATTTCAGATTCACAAAATATTGCAAAAAATAGTACAAAGAAATCTCATATACCTTTCACCCCAGTGCCCTTATATAACTATAGTATGGCAGTAAAAATCAGGAAGTAACATTGATACAATATTATTCTCTAACCTAAACCCCTTATTCAAATTTTACCAATTGTCCCAATAATATCTTTTATTTTTTTCTGGTCCAGGAGCTCATACAAGGCTACATGGTTTATGTCTCACAAACATCCTTTAATTTGGAACAGTTTTAAAAGGTTATCTTTCATGACCTTGGCACTTTTAGAATATGGGCCAGTTATTTTGTAGGATACGTTTTAATTTGGATTTGACTGATGTTTCCTCTTGATTAAAATGAGTTATGCCTTTTGGGTAAGAATACCACAAAAGTGATGGATGTCTTTCTAGGTGTATTGTATCAGGAGCACATGATGTCAATTTTTCTTATTATTAATGATGTCAACTTTGATCACTTGATTAAGGTGATGTTGGCCAAATTTTTCGAATGTAAAGTTATTATGTTTTTTCGTTTGTGATTAGTGAGTATCTTGAGGGAAATTATTTAAGAGATTACATGAACATCCAGTTTTTCATTATACTTTTTCCCACTAATTTTGCCATCCACTGATGATTTTTGCCTATAGCAATTATTATTGTAGTGTTTGACAAATGGTGAACAACAAATTCCATTATTCTTTCATATCTGTTAAGTGGTGATTTGCTATGAAGAGCTATTCCTTATCCCTATTTGTTTAGTTATACATTTAAAAATTATATCATTATGAACTCAGACACCTTGTCATTCTATGGGTAAGCATCCATTGCTATAATTATTTATTTTGTGGTTTAAATTATCTTAGTATTAGCCATTGGGGAGCCTCTTCATATTGATTCCTGTTTCCTTTTATTCTGTCCCCATACACTTTTGGTCATTAACTCAATTTACTGCATCATAGTGTTCCAGGCCTAATTTTGTACTTTTCCCTGCTAACTTCCTTGAGATAAACCTTTCTCCATGGAGGCCTGGTCAGAGAAAAATGACAGAACTAAAAATTTTTTAAATTGCCCAGAGAAGTTGAAAATGTTCAAGTGGACATATTTATTATCTGTACTAACAATGTTGTCAGCACAGTCATTTTTTTAGTATGATGTGGTTGGGTCTACCAAAAATAATAACAGTGAAGAAATCTTAACATTTTGCATACTAGGAAAATTAACCATTATATCCTGAGATACACAGAGCTCTATTTAATGAAATAGTAAAGAATGTAAGACCTGGGAGGACTGAAACTATCTTAATCATCTTTGCCTTTCCTTTGTCTAGAAATACCTGAGTATCTATTGAGTAAATGAAGGTGTCATATTAAGCATGTTTATAATCTGTATAAACTATAAAATGTTACACAACTACAAGACCATTGTTTTTGTGCTTAATATGTTTGTATTAAGTACTATGCAAATTTAAGTTATTTTATTTCCCTTTATCTTAAAAAACATTTAGAAAAAGAAAACTTTAGTTTAATTAGTGCCTTCTTCCACATAGGCTCATTGTTGTATCAAATTGAGGAGAAAATGTGAAAAGAAAACCTTGGGATGTTTTCTATAATTTGGTATTTAGAAGTGTAGATTTATACTTATTAAGCCTCATTTGTGATTAGTAAAAACAAAAAGAAAATTGGCAGAGAATAATAATTCAATTTGTCATTTTGTTTGTCCTAAATTAGTTGGCTGAGTGGTTCAAAAGTTTAGAAATTTTCATTTTGGTGCTATAACTTTTATTAAGTAAAATATCTTTAGATGTTGTGTTTTCATAGTCCAAAAATATTAATTTGGATTTCTCTTAGAATCAACAAAAAATCTTTAAATATTTCTTTGCCTAACTTTTCCCTTATACTTTAATGCATTTGTTAAATTTTTTTGAGAAATTGGCTTGAGTAAATTCCTAAATCATTAACCTCTTCACCATTTTAATATAATCTCCATTTCATAAATTAGAAAATCACTCTTCTTGAGAAATCTGAGAGAGACCTATTTGAAAGTTATAACTCCTTTTCCTTTGCTAACCCATGTAGCCTACACTTGAAGAGAAAGAAATCCCACTTGGGTTTATATGTGTAATTTGTTTAACTCACTAGTTAGTTTGGCCAGAGTCACTTCAAGATCCAAGCATTAGGTGCATTCTTATTCCAGCACCATCTTAAAAGTCATTACCCTCTGACAGAGAAACTGGGATCTAAGGCACGATGACTGTTGCTTTGATCCACAGAGCTTGGACTATTAGTAACTGTTTTCTTAACCTCTTAATGTGTGGTTTATATGTACATAGGACTCTTGCTTTCCTAAGCTTATTTGTCTTTTATTAGTGGACATGTTCTCTAAAGGTAAGAAATGTATTTAGTCTCTGGATGACATTGAAGCAAAAATATCATAGAAGAAATTCCTGAATTAGGGGTGGGGCTGGATTGGATACTGTTTAGGGTGTCTCGTAGCACTTCAAATCCCACACTTCTACTATACACCAACAAGAATACAGAACTTGTATTATTGCCATGATATTTCCATACTTCTTGGCCATTACCTGACTTCTGATCACCCATGTCACAAATCCCATTCTGTGTCTCTTCTTTTAGATCTTTATTAACAATGAGTGGCAGAACTCAGAGAGTGGAAGAGTGTTCCCTGTCTATAATCCAGCCACAGGAGAACAAGTATGTGAAGTTCAAGAAGCAGATAAGGTATGTCTTTCTTAAAAAAAAAGATTCCCTATGCAGTAGCCACTGTCAAAAGACAGAGTAGTAAGCATATCCTGTCCAGATGCCATCATTGACATTCAGGAGTCACTTTTTCCATGAACAATGATGGTTTATCTTTTATTTGGAGTGTTTTTTTATTCAGCTGTGCCCCTTCCTCTCTAACAGGCAGATATAGACAAAGCAGTGCAGGCAGCCCGCCTGGCATTCTCTCTTGGTTCCGTGTGGAGAAGGATGGATGCTTCAGAAAGAGGACGTCTGTTGGACAAGCTTGCAGACTTGGTGGAACGGGATAGGGCATTTCTTGCAGTAAGTAATCTAAGAAAACAGGAAGTCTTTACCCTAGATTTACCATCCCACTGGAATTTGTGTTCCTTAGTTTTTCTGAAATTATGCCGTAAAGCAGACATCGGGGGAAACCCAGGGAATGCTTAGACATATTCAAGTTTGGGGAGCAAGTGGGGAGGTGGAAGATCAGCTGAGTGTCTCTTCTCACTGCATTTTTAAGAAAAACAGCATTCTATGACTAGTAAGGTTCTTCCTTTTCCACATCTCCCACTCCTTGATAAACAAAGCAAAAAGCATAAGGCAATAGGAGAGTCATTATTTCATTAAATAGAGCTCTGTATATTGGTGCTATAACTTTTATTGTGTAAAATATCTTTAGATGTTGTGTTTTTATAGTCCAAAAATATTAGTTTGGATTTCTCTCAGAATCAACAAAAATCTTTAAAAATTTCTTTGCCTAACTTTTCCAGGCTGCTTGCACAAGACCAATACCAAATGATTCTTTGGAAAATCAGAACTAGTTTTTACCCGTTTAGCAGTAACCCCCCTTGACTAGAGAATCCTTCAAAAGCAAAGGACCTCTCATACTTTCTGCTTCATTTTCCATGCCATTTTTCTAGAGCCAAGAGAAAGGAGAGACAGTAGGCACAGCAGCTTTTGTTCACTAGAATAATCATTTTCCTCACATAAGAAGCTGCTTTTTCCCTGGTGGGTTTTGTTGCTACTATTTTCTTAAAAATAAAAGTTATCTTAGAAAACACGAACCTTTTGGAATCTGGAAACACTAAGGAATGTGTACAAAAATGCCAGGGATCTCCCCCTGAATGGCCCACAGTTAATCAATTAATATTTAGGGACTCTTTATCCAGGGCCTTCAAGCCATAGTACCATATCCTTCCCTTGGCTTGGGAAAACAGATTGCTGTTGGGACTTGTGTCTTGGGAGGGAAGCTTTAATACCCTTCCTATGTGTCCCTCCTACAATGGCCCTTTACTTTACCCTCAGGGATCTCTTCAGGGTGTCGAAACAAAAATTATTCCTTTTTGGAGATGGTTTTGGACTATGGCTATGTAACATTTGTCTATTAAAATATTCAACAGTGTTTATTCATTTTATGAGAAAGATGATCCATGGTGAAGAAGCTGTTTCCTGGATATTCACAAGACACTGAGCATGTTAAATGCTCTGAAAAGGCCCACTAGGTACTTCTGAAATTTGAGTCTCAACACACTTTTTCTGGCTAACCTACCAATGCTATGTAAAACTGAGTTCTTAGGAACCCTCGGAAAATACTGATGTATATATTTGTCTTTTCATTGGATTTTGAGTTCCTTAAGAATCAAAATTATAATTTATTTCTTTGTATTCCTTGCACAGTTCCTGGGACATAAATGGCCAATAAATGTTTGTCTGAGTTGCATATATGAAATATTTACAACATTGGATTAACAGCATGTACTAAAGATGATATAGTTTATTTCTACAGTTACATTTTCATATCTTGAAACTCCCTTTTCCTGCCACTTCTCTCACTGAGACCAAATCTCTTTTCCCACCACACTTAAATGAGATTTCTGCTTGTAAATCCTCCCAAGCTGTGGGAGAAATAATTTTTGTGAGAGATAGCCTCTGAAGCAAAAGGGAGCTCCTAATGGAAGAAATGGAAGGTAACATGGCATCTGAAGTAAACACAATTGAGGGTAATATAGGGCTGGCAATTCTTAGATGACTCTCATGTCAGCAGCTCACAGGGACCATTTAGGAGGCTCAAATTCTGATTATTGACTCTGCCTCACTCTAAACTGCGTGGATCGTGACTCGGTGTTAGCTAGATGAAGAATGTAATACACACCATAAGAACATATAAATGTTCTAAAAGTGCTGGGAAATAATTTGATTCCCTTTAATAAAGGTGAGCAGGAACACAGTGATAAATAACATGATATTTTTAAATTAGTTTCATCTTGTACACATAGTAGATAGATAAATTGCACTAAATAGTATTTTCATTTTATTGAATGAAGAGTATTTCATTTTTAGTTTTGTCAGTAATCAAATAATTTTATACCAGTATGTGTTATAAAATGTCCTTATAGAGAAAAGCATGAAATTGTAAATGTATATTTTTGTTTACTTCATTTTTTAAACTTATAATACCTTTAGGATATCTCAACTCAAAATAACTTTATTCCATTGTGTTAATTTGTTGTTGTTTTTGTTACAGACTTAATCAGTTTAAGAATATGTTATTAAAATAATAATGTTTATAATGTAAAGCTGTTTAATATTGCTATTTTTATTAAATGGACCAGACACTTTACTCTTAATAGATAATAGTTGTTAACATAAATGTTTACAAAAAAACCAGCCTTTAAGTTGTTAAAGTCTGAGTTTCCCTAGAGGAGATCTTGTTTATTTGGTGGTAATAAATAAACTTGCTGTGCTCTGTGAATATTCCATTTCTCAGCAGGGGTCTTGGCAACTGTGGAGAACGTTTTATATTCTCATCAATTGCATGAAAACCCCATGACCCCATTTCTCTTTATGGACTCAGATTACTACTGTAGACTCCAAAAAATGCCCATTCAACTCTGATCATTAATATAACAGAAGCTAGTTAAATAAGCAGAACATTTCATTATCATCATAGAAATTTGCATTTATGTATTTGAATAGGGGTTACTGAAAACACAAAGATATAAGAACATACATACATGTACTCTTTGTGGTGTTTACTAGAAATTCAACCAACAAGACTTGTAATACTAGAATTTTCTGTATTAGAAAACCCAGAGTTGAACAGGTATACATTGACATTTATATTCATTGGCATCCTTTCTCTTTTATTTCCTTTTGTTCCAGAAACAGTTTAGTATGTTGTTGGAAAGTTCTAGGGACTTAATTTCTCTTCATTTGTTTTCCTACAGACTATGGAATCTCTAAATGGTGGCAAACCATTCCTGCAAGCTTTTTATGTGGATTTGCAGGGTGTCATCAAAACCCTTCGGTATTATGCAGGCTGGGCAGATAAAATTCACGGCATGACCATTCCTGTAGGTATGTGAAAATCTGAGTATGTTGAAAATGGAAATGTGAGGCTCCACCAGAAACAACTTTCATCATCAGACACAAACAGCAGGCACATATAATACAGATATGAGTCACTTCTAGTAGCTAGAACTGAGCAGAGAGCCAAATAATTCTGTCAATAATTTTGACAGTGTCCCTCTTTCTTTATATAGATAGTCTACATATAAGTGTAGGGAAAATCCACAACAATTGTAAGAGCAAACCACGATCATCAGCATCCTTAGTTTACAGAGGAGGAAACAGAAGCTTAAAGAAGTTCAACAGCTTTCCTACTTCATGAGCAAATGAATTTTACAGCTGAAATTTTGACATTAGAGCCTTAGCTCTTACTTCACCAGAGAATTCATTTTCACTACTGGATGGAAGAAGAAAAAGGGTGTACTGAAAGAAATATGAGGACTCACCAGTGCTTTGTGAGTCTAACTGAACTAAAGCAGGAGGGTCGTCATATGGGAAGGTTAAGTTAGAGGGCCTCATAATTATTCACATGCTTATTTTGATATTTGTTCAGTGGGTCCATAATTTAGCATGAGCTTGATTTTCTTTTGGTCACTTTTTCCCCAGTGAAATCTGGTATATAGGAAGGCCATTAACTTTAACCATGATGCCTTTATTGCCTTACATACGTTTCTCTGCAAAACATAATAATTTTATATTTGGAATTATAACAAAGTAATAAAGTACTTTATTTGCATGGCACTTGAAAGTATAAAGTATTCTTTTTCATATAGGACCTAATGACTCTGTGATCCTTTGAAACAGGCTGGATTTAGAAAGATATTATGCCCATTTTACAGGTGAGAAAATGAGACAGTAAGGGTTTAGTTTTTTAGACAAGTTTACCTGACCAATAAGCAGCAAGTCTGAAATTCAAACCCAAGTCTCTTTCTGCCTAATCTATTGTAAGCATAATGGAGATTAATTTAGTAGGGTAAGAGGGTGAAGAGATGATTTGTAAGGTCTTTAAACCTTTGCTGATTTTTAGATTAACATACAGTTTATTCTCATTTTCATTCTCTCATTCATTTTAGTTTGTTTTATGAAGTTGCCTTGAACACTGAAATAGTAGATATTGAACTACTGTTCTTAGGGGAAATACAGGAGTAGGTTGCTTCAAGCTTCTAGTCAGAACATTTTGTCAATCATTCAGAATATGACCTTATTTTATGTGTTTCTGTTGAAAGGCCCTTTATTGAATATATATTATTGATTTATGAATTTTGAATTCAAGGCCAACCAGCCAGCAGCACTGTAACCCAAGCCTGAATGAAGCTGTTTCTAATACATGTATTTTCTCCTTAAGATACATTACAGCCTCTTGCACTTAGGAAAGAAGAAGTAAAAAATGTGAGAAGTTGGCACAAAATGGATCACAAAAAGACACCATTTTCATAGTATGAGAGCTAAAGCAATAATATAGTGTCACTTCATTAACTTCAACTGAGAGTGTGCCTTTGGCCTTGCATTTTTTTGTTTGTTTTGCATGTACATACTTGTAAACAACTGAAAGTGCTGCAAGCGCTGATTTGTGGGTTGCAAATGAATTTTAACAAGTAAGCAAGTTCTCAAATATGGAATCCACACACAAAAAAAAATGGTGATCAACTGTATCTAGAGCCTAGTTTTCTCAAGATAGCCCTTCTGAATCTCAAATATTCTGGAACATTAAATAAAGGTTGTGGATCTCCCTGCCTGTCAGATGCATGAATGAAGCTTTCATAAAGTGTCAGTGATGAGAACACATTTTTTTTCACCCATAAAAATAACCTGAAAAAATTTTTAAAAAATTTAAATCTACGACTACTTTACTTTGCTACATGGATACATTGACTTACACTCCACAGTTCATCCATCTCAGCACCTCTGATACTAAAGGAGTCAAACAGTGGCAAGAATTGTTATTGTCTATTTCACTCCTTATTTAGGGAGGCTGGAGTTCTGTACCATGTAATAGGAAGATTGTTTCTTTTACCTCCTCTACTACCCATCAACTTCAGCCTCTCATTAATTCACTAATTTGTTCATATATTCCTTTATTCAACAAAATTTTGAGCACCTGCTGTGTTTCAAGTCCTGTGCAAGGCAGTGAAGGTGCAAAGATGATTAAGATGTTCATAGAATAGTAAGGAAAATAAACAAGCAGACAAGCAATTATAGTTCAGTGTGGCCTATTCAGATATAGAAGCACAAAGTTCAAAGAGACTCCATAGGGGAGATGTATCACCTATTATTAAGGCTTCCTGGAGAAGTTGCTATATACAAGATGATACCTGGAGGGCAAGTTAAAAAGAAGCTGGAAGTAGAAGCATCAGACAGCAGTAATGGCCTGTGCAAAGCATGAAAGGAGGAGAGTACTGTGTGCTGGTGGGTCTAAAAGTATAGTCAGATATAGAAGACAGTAAGGTTCTGGACCTGAGTCAGCTGGGCTGCAGGTTTTATTCTGTAGACAATGGTCAGACACTGAATTATTTATATAGGTAAGTGCTTGGATCAGAATTACATTTTAGAAAGAACACTTTGACTGCAAGTGGGTAATCTTGTAGAGAATAGGTATCTGCTTGCTTTGTCCCCCTGAAGGGTAGCCTGCTACTAGACTATCTGGCAAGAGGCGAAAAGGATTATCACTTCTGAGCCATTAACCAGATAGCTGTTTCCTACTTTGAAGTGGAAGCTTCTCCCATCACTCTCTGTTTCACCCCACCCACGGCTCACAATTAAGAAGCTATTGCAGAATTATGCAATATCAGTTTGATTCACAAGAGTCTTGATGTTGTTCCCTTTATAATGTGATCTATCGTTTCCTGCAATAGTACCCAACAGAGCCATTCTCTCTGTCCATAAAGCTATGCTTTACTATGACCTTCTTCTAAGACTACTCCTAATTATAATGAGAAATAATAATCATTGCTATGATTTATTAAGCACTTTCTTTGTGCTCATTTATTATATCTAATCTTGTAGCAGCCTTGATGAAGACTTATTATTTTTCCCATTTTGATTATTTTCAACCCATATCATAATCTTGTGCTCTTCTGTTCACAATCTCCTTGTGATGGAGGAAGAATCAAAGCTTGTTTTCAGTTTACTGAGGGAGAAATAAAAGTTAATGGACTTATATTATCTTAGATTTTTCTGAGTAATGAGTGCCATTAATTTTATTGATTTTATGGTATGTAAGAAAATGTAATCCATACTTTAAGCTGAATTCTGACATTAAAATGGCCTTAAGATATATTTGCATATATAAAGGTTAAAATATACCATGTCAAATATAATAGTCTTTTTCCAGTTTTGCCTGTTAGAATAGGCTAAGAATGGGCTAAAATTTCACACAGATAGTGACTTAGATTCTTGGTCTGATTTAGTCCTATTAACAGTGAATGCATCTGGTGAACTCTTGTTCAGTTAGACTGAGAGTGAGGGACTGTCTTCTCTGCCCACCGAAGAAGAACCAAATTGGTGAATTGGTGATGACAGGAAATCATGAAGTCAGCTTCAGTTTCTTTGAAAGACTAAGGCTGTGAAGGACTTCAGGGATTCCTAAAGCCACTCTTCTCATTTTATAGACAGAGAAGCCAAGTCCAGTGAAGTAAACTGACTTTTTTCCTAAGACCATATTGGTGGAGCTAAGATACCTTCATGACAGGCTCAGGAACGTAACTTCTTCGACTCTTCCAGCAGACAGCTGAGAACAGTGTTTAGTACCACTTTATGCTAATATAAATTTTCACTGTCTGTATAGGCATAAGTTTGTCACTGTAGCTATAAAATGTTCAGAAAGATCTGTGCCACCTTAACATGCATAGAAGTATGCTAAGGTAAATGTTGGGATAATTTTGTGTAATTGGTCTAATTTTTTAATACTGGAATCACCAAAAGGCTTACTAGCTCCTCAAAAGGTAATTCTGTATGAAGTTTAGAGATGAGAATATTACCTTCCATTTACAAAATTATGTTACAGATTTTTGTGCTATTGAATAAACTCATTTTTATTGTTACTAGTTATATGTAATTTACTACAATTCTTGAAATGCTTTTACTATTATGATTGGGAACTAATGTATTAGTTCATGACTAATACATTTCTCCTCAATTTCTGGAACATTCTGTATTTTTCTAACTTTATGGACTATACAGACTGATTAATCATTCGTACTCTTCTGTAATTTATATATAGAATGTACCATTGATAGATATTATGAGAATAAAATTGTGTTGAAATTATTTTTCAAGCAGCTACAAAATCTGCCTTAAGGAGTAATGTTTGCCTTAAAGGAATTATCCAAATAATTAAACTGTTCTGATTAACTAAATATTACTCGCTCCTGTGTAATTTAATCAAGTCCCATCAAAAAAACATAAGATCAGTGTCTTAATATTTCATAAATATAAAATTATTATTATATTACCCATCTTTAGGGTCAGAAACTTTTCTTAATAGAATTATACCATTATAAGCTTGGTGCACATATGCTCAGTAGAAGTTAATCCACGCAGTTCAATCAAATTTGTAATATAATGAAGCATTTAATTTTAAGATTTTTATGTGCTTCATTAACTATAAACTAATCTTTGATTATTGAAACACCCAGAAGTTCTCTTTGCTGGCTGTGTCTTAATATAAATGCTTAAGACCTGGCAAGAAAAATTTTAGAGGAGGAAAGTTTGGGGATCAGAGTTTTAGAGGTTTAGTCAATAGATGGCCCACTCCATTGCTCTGTGTCTGACAGGAGGCGGAGGCAGAACAACATGGTAGAAGAGTGTGGTGGAGGAAAGCAGCTGGAAACATGGCACCAGGAAGCAGAGGGAAACCTCAGCTCAACAGGGCAAAACATGCACCTCAAAGGAATACTGTGAAAAGCCCACTTCCTCTAGCCAAACCCTACCTGCTCACAGTTACCACCCAGTTAATCCATGCAAGTGAATTTTTTAGGTTCAGGCTCTCATAACCCAGTCAGTTCACCTCTGAAATTTCTTGTATTGTCCCACACATGAATTTTTTGAGGCCACCTCATATATAAACCATAACGATCTATGGTGGTGGGAAGAATTGACCCTGTGTCCCCTTTGAACTGACTCAGCCTGGATAGAAGGGAGAAAGGCTGTCAGTCCTGGACCCACTCAGTCATCCAAAGGGAAGTGGCCCTGTAGTGTTGTTCCCTTTATAACTTAATATACCAGAGTCTATGTGAGTTCCCTATGTTCATATTCTCAAAGAATCATCTCACCCTTCTGTATAAAAGAGTGTCACTGGTTTCTTTTGTTTTATATCCCATTTGTATTTATTTTTTCTATTATATTCTAAGTCTCTGGTTATCTACACAACTTTCCTCATAAACGAGTCATTAATATGTTTTGCGGATAAAGAACTTTGAAGTCCAAAGACCCAGATCCAAGTTTAGGAGCCACAACTTAACCAGTTATATCACTTTGAATTTAACTTCCCTGTCATACCTTCACCACATAAAAAATATTGATAATGATAGTTGCATTATTTTTTCATATTTTTGAGTATAAAATTAAATAAAGTTGTGAATGTATTTTATAAGGTTCTATACAAATATGTAGCCTTGTTCTTATTTGAACATTTTGAAAGTATTAAAAACAGTGTTTATATTCTCCTATACTTTAAACTCCTTTCAGATAGAGTAGTAGAGTTATCAGAGAGGCCAAAAGTACGTGAAAGAAAGTGAGCTCACATAACTCTGAAACCACTGCAGGTCACTGTGACACCTATGGACTGCCCTTTCCCTCTCAGTTCCTCTGGGTCTCCTACATGGAGTGTGGCCTGTAGTTGGCAGCACTGGCATCACTTGGTCACATGGAATGAAGCCGACTCTCAAATCTCACTCCAATGCTGTTGATTCAGAATCGTATATAATAGTTCAAAGGTGCTTTGTGTGCATGTTTAAGTTTCAAAGGCATTATGTAGCTTACCATATAGCATTGGTAGCATGCCAGATAATTCTATACAGTAAACTAGTCAAGGTTTTTAGTCTTCATTATTGGGATTTAAGAATATATGAATATTAGAAAAAATATTGCTAGCCCTTAAAACCTGTTATTTCATAGTTTTTCATAGGTGAGGCTAACAAGTAGTCATGTACATATTTTTTAAAGTTGTATTGATTTAATAGAAATTATTAAGCAAGTGGTAGAGCAGTTAATACTTAGATGTGGCAAAAATTGTCAAGGTGGCTTTTGAAGGACTGGCCTAGCCACAGGTAACCCTGATCTCAAGGTTCAGTGGAATTCACAGCAGGGTCATGGTAGCTATGAATGACTTCTGTATGCCACAGCCCCAGCTGGGACTATGTCAAAAGCATAGTTTGCAAGTTTGGCAGGAACTACAAGTACGATGCGAGGTGTCATCTTTCGCTGTCCAGATGAGGATATAGACTGAATTCAGAAGTTCTAGAGCCCAGTTCAAACATCTTTAGCCTATTTTTCCTCAGAAAACCCTTTCCAGAGATTCATAAATTGAAAGAAGGTAATAACCTGTACTGTTGTAAAAAATGGAATCTTTTCAGATGATCCATGAGTTCTCTGCATACAGAGCAGATATAGTTAATTAGATTTAAAAAATATTACTCAGACTTCTTATTATCATCCTATGGATAGTTCCCACATATTGGCTACTTTTTTTGAAATGGTGACACATTTAAAAAAAATTCTCTACAGTTGCTGAACCTGCCAACTTCCTCATTTCTTCAATTTAAAGTAATATCCATAAAACAAAGTCAAAAGATAAGCAGAAAAGCTTTGCCCTAATATGATAGAGAACTAATTTCCTTAATAACAGTAGAGCTCTTCAAATGACTAAAAAGATGAAAACCCCCATAGAAAAATGGCAAATGAAGATTAAGCTGAAGGAACAATTGAAAATGGCCAGTAAACATGAAAGGTGCTCACACTCATAGACCATTATACACAAATAAAAACAATTTGTCATTTCCACAGGTACCAGATTGTCTGACATCAAAGTCTGGTGTTAAAAAGTAGAAAGTATAGCATGTTGTTAAAATTGCAAATTGTTTTAACTTTTCTGAAGGGGAATTTGGCAAATATTTATGAAAATATATAAAAATGCATGTACACTTTGATTTTAAAAAGTTCCACAGATATACAAAGATGTATAAAACAATAGGCTTTGCAGCATTATTTATAACAGCTTGAGCTCTCTCTGTCCCTCAGGAGAATTCCTAGTAATATTATTATTTATTCAGCCAATAAAATAGCATTCAGCTATTAAAAAGATGTGTTAGCTTTATAGGAAAAATAAAATATAAAATACAGTAAATAACATAATCCCATTTGTATTTTAGAAAAATGAAGAGAGAAGTGACAAAAGGAAAAGATACACACTTGTATGTGAATAAAGGTTCTTTGAAAAGATGCACCAGTAATAACAGTTAATTCTGGGAAAGGATAGAGATCAAAGGTCCAGGAGAAAAGAGGGGTGGGGGGAAACACTTTATTGTAAATACTTAAAATGCATAATTTTGAATTTAGTTAAAACAAATCTGTGTGATAAATATTAGTGATTAAGATGTATTGTGAGACAATGATAAACAGTCTCCTTCACGTTTTTTCTTGTTCCCGAATCCACACACTCCTGTCCCCACCTGCATCTGCATTCCTAACAATTGTGTCTTGAATATTAGCTGAGTGTCTTCACTTTCCCTGAGGGACTGTTTTGAGAGAGAGAACAACTCTAATGAAGTGACCAAAGGGCTGGCAGTAGGGGGAAAACAAAGACTTTACCCAGTTCTGGTAAGGAAAGCCATATGCTAAAAATGTTTGGTTAGTTCAAGAAGGCTTTTAATACTACTTAGATAAAAGCCATGACATTTCCTTAAAGAATAATTTGGTTTGGTCTTTCTGGCTAATAATCCAAAATGTTTATTGCTTCTATAAGAAAAACAAGATTTTTAAATTTCTCTCAAGCTCTTTTACTTTTAACCCATATGGTTCATTTTCACATCTAGTTCAAGGATGGAAGCTTTAAGTTATTGATGGAGTTCTTCTTGGCATATATCTTACTTTACTCCTTACTTTGTCCCGTTGCCCAACATTTTAAATATGCCCAATAGTATTTTCTTTAATATTTTTAATACTTAGAAATTACTTAAACATTTGTGTTACTCTAGTTTTTCAAATAAGTGTCCTACGTCTTATTTTAATACTTACTATAAAATTTTAGTTTTTAATAATTGACAACTTTCCCAGCCCCACCCAAGACTGCTTCTAGTGCCATAAGTTTGTCCTTCATTTACTTTAGAGGTCCTCTCATCAACTCTGTGTGTCTGGGAGCCTTAGCCATAGGTACCCCAGGCCAAGTGATCGCTCTTCTGCCAGCTTTTGTGTGTGGTCAAGTAGGAAATTTATCCAGTTTCATTTATTTTATTTTTTTGGCTGCCACTGATGTTCTCCCTGTGCATTATTTTTCTAACCTAAATTTGCTGGGAGTGACCATGCTCATGCTTATTTCTTTCAGATGGAGACTATTTTACCTTTACAAGACACGAACCCATTGGAGTGTGTGGACAGATCATCCCAGTGAGTGTATCTCCTCGCACCTTGTATTTATTTTCATTTGACCCAGTTCTTTTAAAGACACATAAAACATGGTCCTCAGCGATGTGTGTTTTCCATTACTGGGAAGAAAAAACTGAGCTCATGTTGTTGACATATCTTCAACAGCCTCCCTGCAAATGCTTATTTGAACAGGTTAATAGAGTTTCAGCTCTGTTACCAGGAGTTGAGTTCTCAAGTCATGGAATTCTCATGATTAAAATAAGCAAAGCAAAGCACAGTGTATTAATAACTTGCCCTTGGTTGTGGATGTCCATTCTGCTTATGGAAAAGTAATGCTTTGTTATATTTGCTTGTTTATTTTTTAGAACTGTGACTCCCCATGTTTCCAGGCATAGTATTTATATAGTTTTTCAATCCCATTCTTTCCCACTGTCTCTTTTCACAAGAATCTAGATAGGAGACGCTACAGAAGACACAGCAGTACAGTTAACGTCATGATCATAATTGAAACCATGCCGGGCTGTTGTCTGTCTTGTAAAGGGATATAGATGTAGTGCTTAGTGTTTGGATTGGAACATTAAACACTGTCCTTTGCTCTCTCTCTCTTTCTCATACACACCCTTGGCACAATAAAAAACATCAGTGAATCTTTTAACAGTACTAGCTAATAGTTCTGGCCAAGATTTCAAGGGAAGAATCAATTAAACTCTTACAAGATAGACAAGATTTCTCTTCTCCAAATTTAGGACATAATAAAATAATCTTGATTTTGGGAGTCAGAGATTTGGGAGAGTGATTGCTATTTGTTCAAATGACCAATAAGTCCTGGGTAACTATGAGACTTATTAGAGATTGAGAAGGGAAAATGAGAAGTTTGGTCGAAGTTCTTTGGCTCCTACCCCAGGGGACTCCTGCTTAGATAGCTCAGGGGTGGTTCTGTCACCTTCACTGTAGGATTCAAACCTGCTCCCCTTGCCCTTCCCCAGGCTCTCAGAGCTACAGCTTCTCTGACAGGACAAGAGTTGTTTGTCAGCCAGCTCCAGCTCAATTACTGCTCTCCAAGATTTATATACTGTAGATGGAATTAAAACATCACGGAGGACTCCCAAGTTTATAAACAACTAAGGGGAAAAGAAATTGGGTGTTTGGTGAAGGCAAGACACTTGTATATTTTTGCAGGCTTGCCATAGCCAGTGAGAATCCTTCAAGGATGGCAGCTGAGAGGCTTCAGGCAGAAACACAGTGTGGTCAGACGCTGCAGCCAGGGGACTCGGAATTCTGCTTTCTTTCTTAATGAAATTATCAATGACACCTGATAGTAATGAGTCTCATGCCTGAACTTATGTTGAAACAAACTAGATGTCCTATTAAAATCAGTTTCAACCATTTTAGGCCCCAAATTCATATATTCCCATGAATATATTTTTTATCATTGGATTATTTTTCTGTGGAAAGGAGATAGATGAAAATTTTTGCATACTCATCAGGAGATATACTTTATTACTTTATTTTTTGTAGTCATATGTGTTTTATGATTATGTGTGTAAGAAAAACTGCTATCTTGAAGTACCATTGACTTAAAAATTTAATTTATCCCTAGAATTTTTTTTTCGGTGCAGGGGGGCAGGTAGTACCAGAAATTGAACCCAGAGACACTTAACCACTGAGCCACATCCCCAGCCCATTTTTATTTTTTATTTTGAGACAGGGTCTCATTAAGTAGCCTAAGGCTTTGCTAAATTGCTGAGGCTGGTTTTGAACTTGGAATCCTCCTGCCTCAGCCTCCCAAGCTGTTGGGATTACAGGTGTGCATCACCCTGTCTGGCTAGAAATTTTCTTTTTTAGTGCTTATATATTGAATAGATTTCACATTAATGTGCAAATCCTGCACATTGTATATTTAAGAGAAAGTCTCAAACACAAGAACTTATTGGAAACAAAGCTATTGCTGTTGTTGTTGTTGTTGTGCTGGGTATCAAACCCAGGGCCTCATGCATGCTAAGCATGCATTCTACCACTGATAGCATTCCCTACCAAAAGGCCTAATTTTAAGAACATATGAAACAACAGCAGTAAAGAAACAAAAACTTCCTTTCAATCATGAGGTTTCTTTTGGTGGGTAGCTGAGTAATTTGTTGTATAGAGAGAAAAAAAGAGATTTTCAAGGTCATTGCTATTCTATTCTTAATGAAGTCTTTAAAAATCCAAACATCTATGCTTTGTGGAGACAAGATTTATGATGAGGACTAGTTTAAGAAAAAATCAAAAAGTCACAGCTTAGAAACAAAGTGGTAGAGGAATATTTTTCCATTTATCAACCCTGAGTTTTCCCTTTCAGTGGAACTTCCCCCTACTGATGTTTGCCTGGAAAATTGCTCCAGCTCTGTGCTGTGGCAATACAGTAGTGATTAAGCCAGCAGAGCAAACGCCTCTCAGCGCACTCTACATGGGAGCACTCATCAAAGAGGTAGGGGAAGCTGACTTCAGGAGTGGTTCCGACTCCCTTTACAGAGTCTGGTTGTGTGGACCTTCACAAAACACATTTCCTCCACTTCTGTTTTCTTAGGCTGGCTTTCCACCTGGAGTCATCAATATTGTGCCAGGATATGGGCCAACAGCTGGGGCAGCAATAGCGTCTCACATTGGCATAGACAAGATTGCATTCACAGGCTCTACTGAGGTAGGTCCCTGAGAAACCATGGACGGAGGAACATGACACTGAAGATGGTACTGTAAGCTGGATACCCACCGGGCACTCAGTACCCAAGCCCTTTAGGAGTAATATTGATCTCAGAGATAGAACATGGGTGAATATGAAAGCAAAGATTGACATTTTTAACTATTGGATGCACAGTTCTCTGAGCTTTTTTGTGTACTGTCTGTGTAAAAATTGTCTCAGAAGTTGTGGTTCTGGACACTTTTTTGATTCAAGAACATATGGCAGAAGCAAGTTAAGAAGCTGAAAAGCTTAACTAGTCTCTAGTAAAGATGAGAATTGAGACATAGCATTTCCTTCTCTTGATTTCCTGTAGTTGCAACTGGCAAATAATTATGCCCTATGAGCTGTAAGGGATGATACAGAGCAGTGGTCAGCAAACTTTTCCAGTGAAGGTCTGATAGTAAGTGCTGTACACTTTGCAGGCAATGTGGGCTCTGTTGCAGCCACTTAGTTATGCATTACTAGCACCAAGCAGTCATAGATAATACATTAACAAATGAGTGTGACTGTGTGCCAGGAAAACTTTACAGGAACTGAAGTTTAAATTTCACATAATTTTTACAAATCAAAAAATACCTATAATTTTTTTACAAACATTTAAAAATGTGAAAACTGTTCTTACTTTATAGCTCATACCAAAAGAGGTAGCAGATCAAGTTTATAAATCCCTTATGTTAGAATCACATGTGTAATTAGGGAGATGTATAAATTGTTACTCCAGTATGTCTTTGATTCAGGTAACAAATGCCCAAAGAGAGACTCTGATTCATTGTCTCAAGTTGAACTTCACAGATACTGCTATCATCATTGCAAAGGATGTCTATAAGTCCAGAACAGTGTTCCCCAAAAGAAAGAGAACAAGGGCAGCATTTGTCACTTAAGTCTGGTAACCTAAAAAATTAAAAGAAACAAGTGAAACTAATATTCACAACATATTTAATTTAATCCAGTATTTCCAAAATATTATTTCAACAAATAATTGGTATGAAAATTATTAACACAATATTTTGCATTCTATTTTTCTTATGAAGTTTTTGAAATCTGGTATGTGTTTTACATTTGCAACACACCTCAATTCAGACTAGCCACATTTCCATGGCTACATATGGCTAGTGGCTAGCATGTTGGAGAGTACAGGTCTAGAAAGTTGATAATATCAGTTGATAGAGAATTGATATGTGGTTTAACTGACTCTTGTTAAATTCATGAAAAATTTCATAAAAGATGGATTAATGGTCCTAAATGTTAATTTACATTTAGAGATTATTTAGTTTTATGTTTGTCAAGAGTAAATCTTGCTTGTTTCTCCAAAATTTTTGTTATACTTGTTTTGTTACACTTTTTCAATTTAATGAAATATGTAAACCAAAATGAGAGTATGAAAGGGAATTATTGTTTCTGATGAACTGAGTCTAATGCTTTGAAAAATATTTATTAAGGAGAGATGACAAAAACAAACTGCAACCAATTAGAAGTAGGCAAGAAAGACAATAATAAAAGATTAGGGGAAAATATAAATCTGGATAAGAGTGTGAGCCTGGATGGCTTGGCAAATGTTTTTAACTCCCTACTCGACTTAAAGAAACTGAAACCAGAAATCTTCAAAGTATTTTAAGGATGTGGTTTAATCAGAAAGGACAAGAGGAACTGTAATTAAAATCTGTCTCTTTTTTTTAATGTTTATACTTGCCAATTTTATTGGTAAATTTATTGTTTTAATTTGCATTTAAAATTAATGAACTGGGGCCTTCTTTACTATCTTTATTGGCTAATTGTATTTTTAAATTAAATTATTTATTATTATAATTTGTTATACATAATGGTAGAATACAATTCATTTCATATTACACATGTAGAACACAATTTTTAAGTCACTGATTGTACACAAAGTATTTTCACACCATTTGTGTCTTCATGCATGTCCTTAGGGTAATAATGTCTATCTCATTCCACCATCATTTCATTGCTTTTATATTCAAAGACTGGAGAATTAGATATACATATTTTTAAAATGTACATGATATACTTAAGGCATCTTTTCTTGCTTTAATCTTTTTTTCTGTTAATTGAACAGTGGTCATGATAGAGTCAGGTAAGACACTTCAGTGTAATTTTTTAATAAAACTTTATAATAAAAATAAGAGTGTAATATACAGATACCATGTTGTACCAGTACCAAAAGATATTCTTTCTTTTTAATAGCTACATGGCATACTCTTACATCAATATTATTTAGTATTTAATCCTCTGTTAATGTGCACACCAACAACTTTTTTTTCACTTTTGTTCTTATTATACAAACTATTGAAATAAAAGCCTTTGGAGATACAAAAGAGATTCTGTGTGTGTGTGTGTGTGTGTGTGTGTGTGTGAGAGAGAGAGAGAGAGAGAGAGAGAGAGAGAGAGAGAGAGAGAGATTCCATTGGATGTTTCTGGAAATGTAATTGCAAAATAAAAGGATATTTATATTTTAATTTGCTTACCAAGAAGGCATTAAAGTTTTGGTTTCATTTATAGGATCTCTTTATATGTCAAGTATGTTAATCTTAAGTTTGTTGTATAATTTGTAAATATTATTAACAGTTTGCTCTTGGATTTTAACATTTTAAAAAGTTATTTGCCATGCACAGTTTTAAATTTGTGTATAGTTATGTCTTATTCTTTTCCATAACAGCCTCTGAGTTTTCTGTCCCTTTGGAGAAACCCCTTCAAGTTTATACACATTGGTTCTTCCCATTTTCTTTCAGTATTTTTATGGTTTTGTTTTGTTTAAATCTTTTTTCTTGCTGGAATTTATTTTCCTGTATAATGACAGGTAGGAGCCTAATTTAGTTTTTTAACAAAAAAAATAAACTAGTGCTCAATTATTTAAGTATAATTTATTAAAGAATGTATCATTCTGCAACTCATTTTAATATAATATAACATTATATGATAAATTTACATGTCTACATGTTTCTGTTTTATGATTCATAGTTTTATTTATCTATTGTTCCAGTTACTAAGTCTCAGAAATTGTGATGTGATAGACAAGATACCCCCTTATTATGCCTTTTTTTTTAGTTTTTCAAAACCTTTTGACCATTTAATATTTCAGATGAAATTTCAAATTGATTTTATAAGCATCTTAACTTTCTCCCCAGAACTCTCATTGGAATTTTGATTGGTATTATATGTTCATATTAAATTGAGGGAAGGACAATCTTTACCATATTGACTTCCTACGTAGGAATCCCTTTAGTTATTTGTCATTAAATAGGTCTTAGGCTTTTATTAATAATTTCTAAGCACTTAATATTTTCTTCCAAGATATTTAAATCTAAAAACTGAGCACCTTTAAAAAAAATGTTACAACACCATGTAGTAGAAAGTTAGATGGAATAGATAGATGGAATCTCATCTTTCAGGCCTCACAAGAAGTTGTATGACAAGTCAGTAAAAATGTAAGTACTTGTCGTCAGAGCTCTTGGGTTCAGATCTGTTTTGTCACTGTAGATTTTTTAACATTTTAAAGAAATTTACTGAAGTATAAGTTACATACATTAAAACACACCCATTTAAATACCAAATATACATATCCATGTAACCACCACAGATTACTCAGGCCTTTTTCCAGCTAACACTCTTGGCTCCAGGCAATCATTAATCCTTTTTATTAATTTTACTATTCCAGAACTTCATATAAATATAACAATATGATATGTACTCTCTTATGTCCTCTGTTGTAGTTGTTATTCAACATTTAATGTATTATTGATAAGGTTGTGTTTAAATCTCCCATCTTGTTTTGGGTTTTCATAGGTCCATCTAGGACTTCCCCCCTCACCTTTTTCTACCCTCTTTTGAATTAATTGACTAATTTAGTTTTCTGATTCACATTATTAGCTATACCTGTTTTATAAGTGATTGCTTTAGTGTTTACAGTATGCTTCTTAATCACAGTCTGTCATTAATTGTATTGTTTCTTCTTTATGATATAATAATCACACAATAATATTATTTCATTCATCATATCCTTTGTTCTATTTTTGTCCCTAATTTATTTTCACGTTATGTGACTCTGAATACATTTCTACTGTTACTGTTTTAAAAATTTAATTATCTTTAACAACTTTTTTAAAATGAGAGGGCAAAATTATTTTGCACTTATCAATATATTAGCCGTTCCGACCTTCTTTTGTTTTGGGGTAGGCCCTCTTTCCCTTCTTGTAGCATTATTATTATTATTATTGTTGTTGTTGTTGTTGTTAGAATTGTTTCTTTATATTTTTCTTATTTATTTATTTATTTATTTATCTAAAAACACCTCTAATGTTTCTTGTAGGGCAGGTCTACTAGTGAAGAGTTCCCTTAGTTTTTGTTTGTCTGACAATGTCTCAATTTGTATTTTGTTCTTTAATAACTTTTTTTCTGGATATGGAATTCTATTTGGACAGTTTTGCTTCACTTTACTTTCAAGACACTGAAGATGTAATTCTGTTTTTTTCTGACTTGCTGTGTTCTGATGAGTCTCCACAGTCATCGTGTATGATGTTTCCTTTTCCTCCAACTGCATGTAAGAATATCTCTTTTTAATGGTTGTCAGCAATTTGATTGTGATGTGTTTCTATGTATTTGTTCTTTCCTAAATTGTTTGGGGTTCATTCACATTTTTGGTCCTTCAAGTTTATAGTTTTCATCAAATTCAGAAACATTTAGATTTTTATTTCTTCAGATGTATTTTTTCCTTCTACTGCCCTCTACTTATTACCTATGTATTACATCACTTGACATTATCCTATCAGTCACTGAGTCTCTTTTAGTTTATTCTCATCTTTTCTCCTCTTTGTGCTTCAGTCTAGATAGCTTGTCATCATAAAGCTCATTTATCTTCTGTAATGCTTGATGTGCTTCAGATGTTGCATTTTTAAGCTCTGGAAACTGTGAGTTCATATATGTATATATAGCTTAGCTTTCCTTCC